TTTGGCCTCGATCACCTCTTCTCCCAAGCCTTTGGGTAGTTCGATACCTGTAATCATGGCCTCATATTCGGCCTCATTGTTAGTCAATTTCATAGTTCTAATAGATTGTCTAACCACGTTTCCTGTAGGTGGTTTTAGTACGATGCCGATCCCGGACCCTTTCGCGTTCAAAGCACCGTCCGTGAAGAGGGTCCATATTCCTGAGGACGTAACCCGTGTTTATCAATAGTTCTCTTTCGACCTCGGGTACTAGGGCCGATGTGAAGTCAGATACAAAGTCTGCCAAAATTTGAGACTTAATTGCTATTCGGGGTTGATATTCGATATCATACGCGCTGATTTCTATGCCCCATTTGGCCAACCGCCCCGAAAGCTCGGGTTTATGCAAAATATTTCGAAGTGGATAAGTTGTTACAACACATATGGGGTGACATTGAAAGTATGGTTTTAGTTTCCTAGAGGCGCTTATCAAAGCGAGCGCTAATTTTTCAAGGTGGGGATATCTAGTTTCGGCCTCACCTAAGGTCCGACTGACATAATAAATGGGAAATTGTGTACCTCGTTCTTCCGAGACAAGGACTCCACTTGCCGCTACCTCCGATACTGCCAAATATAAGTAAAGTTATTCGTCTGCCTTGGTGTGTGAAGCAGCGGTGGGCTCGATAAGTACCTTTTAAGCTCTTCCAAGGCCTTCTGGCATTCCGAGGTCCATGTAAAATTATTTTTCTTCTTTAGCAACGAGAAATATCGGTGGCCTATATCGGAGGACCTCAAAATGAATCGCCCCAGGGAGGCCATGCGCCCGGTTAATATCAGCACGGCCTTTACGATGTCTATCACCGTGATGCCATCGATAGCTTTGATCTTGTCAGGATTAATCTCGATTCCTCGGTTAGATACCATGAACCCGAGAAATTTTCCTGACCCAACCCCGAATGCATATTTTTTCGGGTTTAGCTTCATGTTGTACTTCTTCAATATACTTAGAGTTTACTGCAAGTTCTTTAAATGGTCCTCTGCTCGCAGGGACTTAATTAGCATGTCATCAATGTAAACTTCCATAGATTTCCCTATTTGTTCTTCGAACATCCAATTTACTAGGCATTGAAAAGTGGCACCAGCATTTTTTAATCCAAATGCCATTACATTGTAGCAGTAGGTACTATACTTAGTGATGAACGAGGTCTTTTCTTGATCATCCGGGATCATTTGTATTTGATTGTACCTGGAATAGGCATCGAGAAAACTGAGGATCTCGTGACCGGCCATGGCATCGATCATGCGATCGATATTAGGAAAAGGAGAAGAATCATTGGGGCATGCTTTATTTAGATCCTTGTAATCTACACACATTCTTAGTTTGTTTCCTTTTTTAGGGACTACTACTACGTTTGCTAACCATTCAGGGTATTTTACCTCACAGATGGACCCTATTTTAAGAAGGTTGGTTACCTCGTCTTTGACGAAAGCATGTTTGACCTCGGATTGGGGTCTTCTTTTTTGCTTCACCGGATGGAGCTTCGGATCCAAGCTTAGTCTATGGGTGGTGATTTCTGGTGGGATCCCTGTCATGTCAAGATGGGACCAAGCAAAATAATCCATGTTAGCTATAAGAAATTGAATAAGTTTTTTCCTAAGCTCGGGATTTAACCATGTGCCCAGGTATACCTTTCGTTCGGGCAGATGTTTGATTAGTATGATTTGCTCTAGTTCTTCGACCGTTGATTTGGTAGCGTCGGAATCATTAGAGCCTATGAAGGATCGAGGGACCCCATAATCATCATCTTCGTCAAAATCCTGCTTCTCTATTTGGGTCGAGGCCGGCGTTTGTGATTGCTATTTGGTCTCTTTTTTTTCCCTTCGAATTTGACCCCTTTGTCGATGAGAGTGGCGATATCGGAATCACTTCGTCGACGACAAACATTTACTTTGCGACGGGTTTCTCCCCGTAGATTCTTTTGATTCCCTCTGGTGTTGGGAATTTTAGAACCTGGTGAAGGGTCGAGGGTAATGCTCTCATGTTGTTGATCCATGGTCTCCCAAACAGGGCGTTATACCTCATGTCGCCCTCGATCACGTGGAACTTCATTTTTGGATGGTCCCAGCCATGTTTACTGCCAAAGTTATCTCACCCTTAGTAGTTTCACTTGCCATGTTGAATCCGTTTAGTACTAGGGTCGCGGGCACAACCCGGTCCTGTAGACCGAGTTGCTTTACAACCCTCGATCGAATAATGTTGGCCGAACTACCTGGATCAATTAACACACGCTTAACTTGAGTCTTATTCATGAGTACAGATATTACCAGTTCATCGTTATAGGGGTGCATGATTCTTTCTGCGTCTTCGTCGTTAAAGGACAAGGTTCCTTTCGGTATGTAATCCTGAGCCTGAGATCGCTTCTCCCTACGATTGACACCTTAGTGCGTTTAAACACTGGCCCTTGTGGAACATCGATCCCTCTGATGATCATGTGAATAATGTGTTGTAGTTCTTCTTGCTCGTTTTGTCTATTGAACTCTCTATTTTTAAGTGATTCTTGGCTCGATCACATAAAAACTCTCGAAGGTTCCCTTCATTGAATAATTGGGCTACTGCTTCTCTCAACTGCCTGAAATCTTCCGTGTTGTGTCCATGGGTGCCATGATACTTGCATACTTTATAGTGATTTTTCTGGGCTGGATCAGTTTGCAGAGGTCGAGGCCATTTAGTATCTTTCATGCGTCCGATAGCCGATACGATGGCGGATGCATCAACATTGAAATTATACTCCGACAATCGCGGTGCTTCCTTAGGTCCGGTATGCCTGTCGAAACCACTCTTTCTCATCAGCCCTCGAGAGCCTTGGCCTAGATCACTTCTCCTCTCACCTCATACGGAGTTGTGTCCGGGTCCGTTGCCCCTACCATCTCTATTATATGGCTGGTATCGATACATGTTCAACACTCGATTCTCGATCGATGTCCCTTTTGGTAACGGATCCGGAAGGACCCCCCAGCTGGTCATCTTCGACTCTAATCTTTGATTGATATCGACTATGTATATCGGCCCAGGTAACAGCCGGGTATTCAATCAACATCTGCTTCAATTGTTGTGAAGCCACTGATCTTCGTTCATTTAGTCCTTGGGTGAAAGCTTGAATGGACCAATCGTTTGTGACCGGTGGTAGATCCATTTGTTCTATTCGGAAGCGAGATAAAACTCTCGTAGCATCTCGTTCTCTTTTTTCTTTACCTTGAAAAGGTTCGACTTCCTAGTCTCGACCTTTATGGCTCCGGCGTGTGCTTTTACAAAAGAATCTGCAAGCATGGCAAAAGAATCGATAGAGTTGGGTGGTAAATTATGATACCATATCATTGCTCCCTTTGATAGCGTTTCCCCGAATTTCTTTAGTAATACGGATTCGATCTCATCATCCTCTAGATCATTCCCTTTAATGGCACACGTGTTAGAGATGGCATGCTCGTTGGGGTCGGTCGTTCCATTTTACTTAGGAATCTCGGGCATGCAGAACTTCTTGGGGATCGGTTTGGTAGCTGCGCTCGGGGGGTGATGCCCCCGGGATCTGATCAACCCTGGAGTTATAAATTTCTATTTTTTTGTCGTTTGCTTCGATCCTCGTTTCCTCTGATTCTATCTGCTTTGTCAGTTCCTCGAGCATCTTTATAATTTCGGGGTTAGTCCTTGATTCTTGTTCATTTGACCTTACCACAGCTGGCCCCGTTCTGTGGGTGACTTCTTGGGGTAAACCGGGCTCAACCCTGATCGGAGCCTGGGTTTGGCTCTGTAATTGATCCCGTCTTCTCCAATATTTTTGGTATTTTGAACTGCAGATCGAGTTCTACCACGGATGTTATTTTCGGGACCGGAATGTTGGTTCGCTTCGATGGCCACATGCGAATTAACTTCAATCGGATCCATGGCTCAAGTTTCAACAGGGTCAACGGGTGACCTTTCATCCACGGGAGTCCCGTTGTTATTCTCCCCTTGATGGCCAGATTCGTTATCGATATGTAGGGGTATTAATTGAGAGTTCGTCATTTTTAGCCTGAAATCAAAGATACTTCCAAGAGCAAATGTAAAATAGTGTGTTTTACAGAGATTTGTATCAAATAACCACTATTATCCTTAGTCCCACGGTGGGCGCCAAATTGTTTACCCGAAAAACGAATAACAATTGAATTTATAGTGGTTCTAAGGATACGTAGTATAACTTGGTATAAATTGAGAAAATATATAAATGAATATAGAAATTAACTGTAAAAGAGATGAATGCAAATCGAATGAATTAATTAGCCTAGGCCCTCAAGTTTGATCACCCTCAAACTGAATGGAGAGTAATGAATATAAGAACAAAGTGACTCAATATCAAAGCCAGAAGAAAAGGCAGTATATTGCTTTTATATTCTATGAATATAAATGTGTCACTCTTACAAATAATCAGACCCCCTTTTATATAGTAGGGAAGTCCTATTCTTAATATAATTTCTAGATACAGTAAGGAATCTCATGATAGATTAATTAATTGGTCTCTCCTTGATATGCGCCGGGATTTACGCCGAGATTCCTAGCCCAATTGCGGATATTCCGATTTTCTACTTTTTGACTCGAAAGCTCTCCTCAATTTTGGCCGATCTCGATCTTGATCGGTCTATAACTTGCTCGATCTCGATCTTAGACGATCTTGATCGGTCTCTGGATCACGAGCTCGGAGACCCAACTTCGCATTATGGCTCGATTCTACACGAGGCCGAACCGTGGTCTATCATGTTCCAGTCTCGATTAGTCATACGAAGGGCAAACTCGGTTTTGACCGTATACAGTTATTATTAATATATCTTTAGTTGTTAAGCTGCTTTAGTTGTTAAGCTGCTTTAGTTGTTGTGTTAATGTTGGCTTGCCTAGCAAGCGGATGTTAGGCACCATCGCGACCGCATGGTTGAAATTTTGGGTTGTGACACTAATTTAGTGAAAGAAATAGCTAAAACCATATTTCTTTTTCTGCAAAATATTTTTATTCTATACCATGCAATAAAATTATATAGGATGCTACTTCGTTTTAGCCACTTCTTGTCGAAACATTTTAGCTTTGCTTGAACATCTTGACTTGCTAAATTTGAACTCTTCTCAAACTTCAATCCAGCAACAAATGGTTCGTCATGTTCTTTTATCAACCTCCTGGCCCTTACTTAACTCATCGTTCTGTGAAACGGTCACTGATAGATCTAATCTGATGCCGTCTAGCCTATTTACATACATCTGTATAAACTTGACGGGTCAGTTGCTAAGTCAACAACAGATTTAAGCTCATCCCATTTCCCATCACTAAACAAGTCCTCCTCCTCACTAATATTTGTGTTCCAAAAACTTGAGCTGGATGATGTGAAAAGATGTTGTTGATAGAAATGATGGTTTCTTTCATCCATTAAATTGTCATCACCATTATTGTTTTCTTGTGGAAACGACACTTGTTTAAAGCTTGTGGAGTGGACACCACTGTTTTCAGATTCAAGGCTACATGTTTTAGGACTTGCATTCCCAAAGCTTAGTGAAACTAAGGGATGTTTCCCTTCTGGTGTGTATCTCTTGTAATTGGAAGTCCTCTTGAATATTCTACATAGTGTCCAAACTTCCTGCAATTAAGATTTATTAACTATTAATACTTGAAAGATATAGAAGAGAACAAAGAGTTAAATCTGTACTTGCAATAGCAAAAAAAAACTTAAAATCTCGATCAATTTTCTGAAACAATTGGCAGGGGTTGATAAAAGAGAGATATTGGAATTGGTACTTGTATGTACTTACGCCTCCAAATATTTTGTAAAGTTACAAGCACCACTATATCTTTAATGTATTGAATTGTGAGAGCCTTCCATCTCAAAATTTAAAATGTTAAGATGTTCTTGTTTGCTCCGGTATTATCTTCAATAACGTGACGACTTCATTTAAAAGCTTAACTATTAGAGTTTAAAATGTTATTTATGCACGTATTGTTTAAATTCACCAAATCAAAAACTAATACTTGACTTACACCAAAAAGTTAAAATAAGAGAGAACTTACAGCTTCGTGAGTATTTTGGAGCTGGTTATTAGAAGTAGTTTTCCAAGTTGGTGGGAGGCGAAACTCATGCATCATCCAATCAGATTTTGTGCCTTTCCCAGCACTTCCCCGATAATATACTAAACATTTTTTGAGGCCAATGATGCAATCGTGATTTTGTGATTTGGTAGTAGAATAAACAGGCTTGTCAATCCCAGTTGCTTTCCAGAATCCAGATCTTGTTACTCTATTTGGTCTTACACTGTTCTTGTATTTTCTCCCCCTCATGCAGAAAAAATACCATTCTTTATCCCCTATTGTGCTCGCCCCTTCATAATATATCATCAAAACAAAAGGGAATTAAGTTAAAAACACGTGAAAGTATAATATAAATATAATCTAATTTATTTTCATTCAAGAATTTTGTTGATTTCAAAAAGAAAAAGATAAAGGCATGTTTCAAAGTAAGAACGTTGTCAATAGAGAGATGCTATATTTTAGTATAGTCCATAGCATTTAAGCATATCAAAATACTCCCTAAAAATCGCCGTTAATTGTTGCTTATGAAGAACTCCACAAATCTTAAATTATAAGAATAAGAGATGAATCCTCGCATTTTACATTAAACGGAGGAAATTAAAGTTATATATATACTGTAATCTTGATTGCAACTTAAATGAATATAGTAGGTTATTATTATATTTTCTATATTACCATATGAGACATTAAAACAGGCTACTTTATTGTTATAATATAGGCTAACTTAATATACAGATATAAAACTAAAGTAAACTCAATCTAAAGGAATATCATCCTAACTGTTAAGTGGTACGTAGTGTTCAAATTAGCTATCAGCTAGATATAAAGAAGATTTGGTCAAGAAAGAGAATAAGAAGTCCCTTTGCTGTATGTCGTGTTTAACAACTTAATTCTTTTATGGATTCTAAATTTCAAGTTTGGAGCCTAGCGCGCAGTCTAAAATAGTTGCACGACAAAGTCAAGCAAAAAAGATACAAAATAAAACGAAATCTATCAATTAGTAGTATCACTTTCTTATTATATAATTTTCACTGATCACCGTCCCACTGCTAACACATTTATCACAACAGACTTAAATCTGCATGAATAGGGAAATCATCCAAACTTTTTACTTAAATCGGATCGTTTATCCTGTTAAAATACAGATCCTTGATCACTCAACTTATCAGTTGGAGTGGTTACCTTGATTTTAATTATTTAATTTTCCTGTGTAAATATTTAACATGTGAAGCATGCAACTTGTTCTACGTTTTTAGATAGTATCAGCACTTTTATCCAAACACTTTTATTTATATCATCAATCAATTTCAGTACTTCAAAATATTTTTCAGCTACTTTCAGAAAAGTGCTCTAAGCTTAGGCACTTATTACTCGCAGATACAGCAATAGAAAAAGTCCTTGATTTGATTTTTGTGAAGTTGCTTTAGCACTATTTAGAAAGGTCATCAAGTTTGACAATTTTCTATGATCATGAAATCAAAGTAAAAAAATCCTCAATGAGGACTCCAAGCCTCCAAATGAATCCTAAAGATGAAGAGTTACCGAATTCTTGGTTATAATTCATATTGCCTGCGGTGCTATTGTGTTAATTAATTTGAAAAGTGCATAACGATGGTATTACAAAAAGATCTAATACTAAGTAACTAATCGTACGTAACAAACTACTAATTCTTCCTTGACCTCTTAGACAAGTATTACTCATACAGCAAGAACGAGTTCTTTCATAAAGTTTTTACTTATTACATTGGTCCTCGATGTATAACTTTTCTATGGAAACTGATCATGAAATCAATCTTATAAAACAACTTTATTCTTCCGATTTACTCGTGTTCTTATGTTGCAAAGTTTAGATTAAGAATCCTCCTGGAAAATTCTTAAAATGGTATGGTATAATTTGTTTTGGGTCAAGTACACATGGTATTCTATAGAGGGCTACATATATATTAAGAGTATCTCTATACCTTATAACTTCTTTTTTCTTATTAACTTTCAACATGAAACTTTGTCTGTACTCCAATAAAGAAACACCAAATGAATATAAGGTTGTCGCCTTTCGTTCGGTCAATCATGTGTACAAATAAAGGATGTGAAAGAATAAAGGACGCGACTTAAACCCTTAAGACGATAGGTGATGTAGCTAAAGACTATTTAAATCTCATTAGAAACATACACCATCTATGAGCGACAAGTGTAGTTCTTTAAAATCAAAATCCTCCAAATGAATCATCAAAGATTAAGCGTTGCCACCTTTTTTTTGGTCTATCACGTCTAAAAATAAAAAATGCGAAAGAATTTGAGTATCCAACCTAAAATTTTTAGTCGATGAAGACAATTTAAACCAACATAAAACTCGATGAGTTATGAGTGTATTCTTTAATATTCTCATGTATGTGTAACTCTGTTCTAGGGTTTAATTACATACGGACTTGGTTTTAGTTTTTCCCCCCTTTTTTGTTTTTTTTCTTAAATATTAATATGAGTGAGTTTGGAGTAGAGAGAGACAAATTAGACTCAACATACTAGTGACTGAGTTATAGGGCGTTAGTGGCTCGATGGACTCCATAGCTTGAGTTCGAAAGAGAATTCTAGAGCAGAAACATGAAGTGGAATTTGAGTTAAATTGTAGTGTGTCTGTGTCTGTATATATATATATATATATATATACGCGCGCGCACACTTCGTTTCTTTGGGGACATCTCTTTTAGATCATCAACATAATGCTTATACACTTACTTGGAAGATCCCAGGGATCATATTTGTAGATGTCAATCTGTTTGATGAGTTCAATGTTTATTCTTTTGTTTTCAACTTTGCGTCTTAGATAAAACCCAACGAGCTCTTCATCAGTTGGATGAAATCGAAAGCCCGGAAGTGTTACTTCTTCTTCATCACCATCTTTGATAATATTTGCAACTGCTACATCTTTTAATTCCATAACTTCGCTTTTCTCTTGCCCTTTTTTCACTCTATTCATCTTGCTCTCAATTACGTGCATGGAATATATGTATATGAATGGCTATTGTTACCCAAATAAAACGAAATGAATTTAAACAAAGTAGAAGAAAAATGATACAAGGATGGTATTGTTGCTTGCTTGGTCAACCTCGTGACTCTTAGCATTTATATAAATAAACTTAGCAGATAAGTCAAGAATGACTAATAGGTGACTTTTGTGGTGTATTTGACAGGTACTGGAATTCCTAATGAGATTAAGTGTATGATTGGCTCACGTTTAACTTGCAGTGTCAATATTTATAAGTAGTTTCCATTGTAACTTTATTTTATGTAAAGTGTAGGAATTCCAATTATGTAGTCTCGCTGTTCCATTATATATTGTATTTGACTGAACATTAAGTTAAGATGTCGATTTACTTGTGTTACTAGTAAAGACAGTAAAAGAAAATATCAGAGTAATGTGTAAAAAGTAAGTTGGATAAAGAATATGTATGTTAACGATATAATTTAACCTCTTGTAGAAGCTTATTTACATTATCTTTCGGGTAACCAGAAGCGGATCCAGGATTCGAAGGTTGCGGGTGCCATCATATTATGCATACAGTATACATGTCAGTAGCTACAAAGACAGATTAGGAATAATGGGTCGGTTCGTTTAGTTTTTGGTTAATTTGAACAGGCCTTTCATTCACAAAGCAAATAAGTTATTTTAGTTCAAATTTTTAACGCTTAATTTAAACACTTCTAAATAAAAATGCAAAAGAAAAATAACATTTCATGAAAGAGCGCCTCCAATATAAATATTTGCTTAAAGAGTAGCTTAACTACAATATATATTGTTTGTTTGACTAGATTAATTTACTTGTATTGTTCTTTGTTTATTTTTTCATCTTAATTGTTGAGTTATATGACAATTGTTTTCAAAGAAAAACCTTCAACATTCAACCTATGATATTCGACTCAAAACTACTATCAATCAAGCCATTTAATTTTTTTTCAAAACCCAATAGAAGATATTGCTCAAATTATATTCCAATATATAAATTAATATCATTTCATTAAAAATAAAAATAAAATTATATGCTAATTAAAATCAATTCAAATTACCTATAGAAAATAATTATTCATAAAGTAAGGTATAATGATAGAAACAAAATGATACTGAAAGTTTAAAAAAATAAAGAAGAGAGACTTAGCAAGTAATAAAAGGAAGAAAAGGAGGGAAAGAGCCGAAAAAGAAGAAAAAGAGGTGAGGCCCTAGGGCTCAACCGAAAATAAAGAAAATCTTAATAAGTAGAAAAAATGAAAAATCAAAGGAGATGCTCCAACAGGGAATCAAACTTGCATTCATGAGGCCAAAGAAAGCCTTCAAAGGGAAGGCTGAACCAATGGTACCCGCTTCCACTTTGTGACTTCTGGGTGCCACTCTATCCATATATACGTTTCTCCACATAAATATTATGTACATAGTAAGAATTTTAGCGAAGCGAGCGAGTGCCGTGATACCCCTACCTCATAAAGTAGATCCGCCCGTGCGGGTAACTACTTCCACTTATTATGCATATTACTTATAGTTATAGATGATATGTTAGTGTAAATAATCTAAAATAGAAAACGCTTACCTAAAGTAGAAAGAGGACAGTAGTACTTATTACTGTAAAACTAGGAATATTAAAAAGTAAAAACAAAGAAGAATTAACCTAAATAGGTGTCCATTCAACTGCTTAATAACCGACAGATGTATATATAATTATATATATATATATATATATATATAAATTCAACTATATAATTTATCTCTCTATATATATAACCGTATATAATTTACTTATTAGGAAAAAGAAACAGTAAATTCGACCGCCTTTGTTCAAATTAGAGGATTTCTTAACTTATGTAAAGATTCCAAATACAAAAGCTGAAGTCATGAAAAGTTATTGTGATGCATTAATTACACCACAGCTTCAACAAAGGGGAAGAACTGTGAGAACCAGAGCTTTTGAAAATTTGGGCTCTATGGTTATTAGTTATCACAAACAACTTTGGGAGTCCACCAGTGTGGGCATGACATTGACTTGGAAAATGCAAAGTTAGAAGAAAACATGTAATTCAAAGAAGAATCTTTCAAAGAAATTAAAAAGTGGCCACGTATTATTTAATGAAAAAACAATGAAGAAAAGGCCAATCAAATGAGGACTAAGTCTGGAAGATAGTGACGATTGACCAAATATGCATTTATATAAGACTTACCAATTCACCAAGAAGAAGTAATGTCTTGGCCCCCATTGTGGACCTGATGATTGTCTAGCTTGGAATCTCCAAGTCAAGCACAGATTTTATTTTTTCTCCTATTTTAGTATGTGAAGTGATGTACTTATTCTTTCTTTTTTTGGGTTTCCTATTTAGTGTCCGGTACTCACATTAATACTAGACGAAGTTTGAATTAGCGTTGAAAAGTCTTACGTTGCAGGTTAAGTATTTCGTAACAAAGGTGATTCCATACTTGTCATGACTCAAAATCTAACTAGTCGTGATGGCACATAACCCAACCCGCTAGGTAAGCCAATTAACAATTATCCAATTTAATGAGATTTATTGAGACAAATGAATGATAAAATAACTGAACCTTTATACATTTTCCAAAGACTGGTAGTACAAGTCATGAGCTTCTAATTAAAATTTAGAATTTACAAGCGGGTATGAAATAAAATACATTCATCTATTTAAAATATACATGAACAGATTAAAATTCTACAGCTACCAAGATCAAGAGGTAGTTATGACCCGAACGCAGGTATTTCTTCAAATCCAGCTCCCGCCGTACACAGCAACATCAGCATCCAACATCTGCACGCAAGGTGCAGAAGTGTAGTACGAGTATAACCGACCTCATGTACTCAATAAGTAACAAACCTAACCTTAGGTTAAAAGTAGTGACAAGCTGGAACAAAGGTCGGAGTCTAACACCAATGGCCAACAACAGTTCATAACAACTTAATAAAAGTGATAAAAGAAGTAACCCAGAGATAAAATGCTCATCTCGTTCACAGTTCCGGAAAATAGATATGTTTTTCAAGTATATTAGTGGAAACCCAAATCTTTTATAGAAATTACCAAAATATGAGTAAGTTTGAAAATTGTGATTTCTTTCCCAAAATCTTTCAACAACAGTTAAGAAGGCTCGTTATCAAATGGCATGAGGAAAGTACGTCTCTATGCCTACATGTCAACGTGTGTGAAGTCATGAATGACGCAATACCGTACAATATGAGGAAAATGCATCTCTATGTCTGTATGTCAAGTGTGTATGTCGAATGCAATGCAACTCAGTGATAAAACCATATGCATACTCTTAGAGTATCAATTCACTCAGTCCTCTCAATCACTCAGTCCTCACAATCACTCTATTCTCACGGTCACTCAGTCCTACCAATCACTCGGTACTCGCACTCAGTAGGTACATGCGCTCACTGTAGGTGTGCAGACTTCGGAGGGGCAGATCCATCCCAAGTGTTATAATAAGCCAATCATAGCATGAATCAATAATACTTATTGCGGCGTGCAGCCCCATCCCATCATGAATCAATAATACATGCTGCGGCGTGCATCCCGATCCCATCACAATCATCAATCTATCTAGTCTCTCGGGCTCACAATGTCATGAAAATCAATCCAAAATGATGATGTGATGTATTAATAAATGGTAACATAGATTGAGATATGATATGCAAATGAATGCTTATGACTGAGTATGTAATTGCAAGGTACGCAAATAACTCAACAGCAAAAATGACCTCAGTGGATCCCAACAGGATAAGCATATAGCCTAGACATGGTTTCTAACATGGATCACAGCTCAATTACACTAGCACGTATAGATTTCATAGTTTCAAATAAGATTAGGTAATTACACAGTACCACATAAATAACCGAGTCACAAACATGCCAAAGAGTCCCATAACATAACATAGACCTACTCGAGGCCTCAAATCACGCATAACAACATCGAAACGACGAATCGCACCTCAAATCAAACTTAATGAACTTTTCAACTATTAACTTCCAAAACGCATGCCGGAACTAATCAAATCAACTCGGGATGAACTCAAATTTTGCACACAAGTCCCAAATGACACAACAAAGCTATTCCAATTACCAAAAAACACAGTCTGAATCTGATATCCTCAAAGTCAACTCTGGGTCAAACTTATGAACTTTCCAACCTTCAAATTTCTAACTTTCGCCAATTAGCGCTGAAACCTTCTAGAAATATCCAAATGCAAATCCGGGTATACACTCGAGTCCAAAATCACCATCCGGACCTAATGGAATCATCAAAACTCCAATCCAAGGTCAAATACTAAAAAGTCAAACTTGGTCAACTCTTCCAACTTAAAGTTTCAATCATGAAATTCATTCTTCCAAATCGATTTCGAATAACCTGAAAATCAACGATTCACACAAGTCATAATACATCATACGGAGCTACTTATGCCCTCAAACTACCGAGCGAAGAGCAAATTTCTTAAAACGACCGGTCAGATCATTACATTCTCCCTCACTTAAACATATGTTCGTCATCGAACGTGCCTAGAGTCATTCCAGAGCCATAAAATCGCCGTTTAACCTTACCATGCACATACCCCGGGGTGATCCCATGTCACCCTATTCCATATTGGCCCAACAACACAGCATAACTAAAGATCATTACTTCAATCTTAGCTTGTAAACCACATAATCCAATTTCAAACATCCAGAATTTTTTATAAGACCCGAATCTCGCATCTATACATTGTATAAGTCTGAAAAAGCTACATCAAGCCATAACCATAGCTCAAGACACAATCACATGATATACCACATAACTCAAATACTCATAGCAATAACTTTCGACTGCAAAAGCTTCTCAAAACACACCCGGTACGGGTAATAAACCTAATCTCAAACAAAACCTCATTCCAAAACCTTTGTACACTATCGATGATGAAAGAAACACATAGATATATATAACCACTCATCAGATCAACAAGTCATGGAGCTCTCCTACCTAACCAGAACCATAGTCCAAATTCTAAGTTGACTCCCGATATTACTCTTCCAAACACACCGTAATCAAATT